TCTATAGTAGTAGATATAGTATAACGGAGGGATTTTAAAGCTAGTAAAGGGCGACTCCTGCAAGCCCACGATTAAAGCCAAGAAGGGGGAAGGAGAAGTGACACCTCAACGACTCAACTCTTGTGGTTATAGCCAAATGGCGTTGAGGCTTGTACCAAGATCATAGGCTGACTGAGAGCTTTAAAAAACTTTTTATTTTTTCCCTCTTTCTCTCTCTGTGTGTGAATTTTTTCTTTTTTTTACATTTTCATCTCACTCTACTCATTTTTCTTTTTCTTTCACGTTTTGTCGGCGAGGATCAAACAATGGTGAGGCAGAAGGGGTTTGAGAAGGATTCAAAGGTGATAGAATGCATCCGATGTGCGCTAACCTTGCGCGCGTTGTCGTTTGGAGAAAAATTGAGATAGAAGAGAAATTCGCGTAAAGACCGTGGTACTAAAAATCCTAGAGAGAAAGTAAGAGACAGTGTTGAAAAAGGATGAGAAAGAAAAAATAGTCGACGACGACAATTCGTGTCTTCTTGGCGTGAAACGTTTGCCTTTTAAACCTCGACCAGGCTATTTACGGAAGTGCCGCTACTTTACCTTCTACGATTTGTTTTACTCTCCAAAAGTCGTGCAGCAGCTCACATTAATGGTTCCCAAAGGTCTGGTAACTTTCTTTCTTTCGAATTTTTTTCGAAAAAAAAAATTCTCTTTAGTATGTAATAAATTTTTCTTTAAAATTGAAGTGTATCAAAAATAAAAAATACTCTTTTGTATTTTAAACAATTTTTTTTCACAGTTAAATCCGCTGCTATGATTTGTAAATTCTGTGTGAATCTTTACGACTTCAGTCACCCTTTTTTAAAGTACCACAGTTAAAAAAAAACATAAAACTTGTATTACAAGTGTTGCGAAACACATTCTTTAAATTTGCCAACAATAAAAAAAAAATTCCGCAAAATAGCTGCAAAAAAATATATAAAATAAATAATAATGCAATTAAAATATTTAAAAAAGTTATGAAATAGTTAAAGAAAACTTTAAATGAAATTTAAAAATTTACGAGACAATAGAAGAAGATAAAAATAAAATAAAGGGGAACAAAATTTTTTTGAATAAAATTGTTTTAAGGGATATAAAGGTTCACGGTATATTACACAACGAGGAAAGCTCCTCTAAAGTTGGTGAGCCGAAGGAAATCTGAATAAATGTTTACTTAATGGAAAATTAGTGTTTCAAGCGTCTTTAGTTACTGCTAAGGAGGCGGTTGAGACTGCACATTACGAGGAGGGAAGTGGGTAATTAATAACTCTATTATCGAATTAAAGAAGATGCCCCAGGAAAAATTGCCAAGAGTAAAAGGAAAAGAAAAACTAAGAGTGAGAGAGAGAGAGGGGAAAAAGTTTAAGATCTACTACCACCCATAAACGATGACATTAACGTTTCGCTCTTATATAGATTATTAAGAGAGAATTTTAGATTTAAAAAAAAAATTATTTTCTTATTTAATCTCTTAAATTTATAGCTCTGACAGTTTTAATTATAAACTTATTTCTAATATTTGTTTTCTTTTAATAATGGCATAAAATTTTTTTTAGAGCTTTGAATATGTTCAAATAAGAAATACAGGTGCAGGTTAAAAGTCCTTGTTTCCGAGAAAACTCTGACTTTTACAGCATCTCGTACTTCTTATCGTGCACATCGTGGTTCACTTTCATATGCAGACGGTGTTTCTCTAACATGGAAGTAGTTTATGATCGAACCATCGTTCTGCCCTCTGTTTTCAAGCGATAAGAACCCAAGGCAAGTCGATGCTTGAAAAGTTATGGCTCATCTCTTTGACGCTAATCGATTCTAGTTCAAAAATATATTTCAAACGGGGTAGCGGCGCCATAAGAGAAAAGTGAGTTCCATTTGGGCTTTAAATATTATAAAGATTGAAGATTAAAATTCGGTTCTAGAATTTTTATACTCATGGGCTTTTTTTGTTGAATCGATTTTTTTTAGATGAACAAAAAAACGTTAAACTAGCCAAAGTGTTTGATTAAAAACCAAAAAATTAGAACAAACGTTTAGTCTCAGTTCTTTCTTCTATTTACAATTCTTTCAAGTTCCAAATCCATTCTTTTGAATCATTCAATTTTATAATTTTTTCCTCCAGTGATTAAGTCAGTTTTATCTTTAAAGTTCCAGTTCAAGATATCATTATTATATACCAAAGGGTCCAAGGTTCATTATTAAACCTGTTTTTCCCACAATCATCATAAATAAAATTGTAAAAAGTAAGTAATTTTATTATTTATCAATGTTCTTTCTTTTCTTCAATTCACAAGTCAAACTTCTAGATCCAAAGAACGTAGTGCGATTAAGTTGTGCATTATGCTTTCGTCATTCATTAAAAAATTTTGCTCATTTTTTTTATATACCGTCCGAAAAGATTTTTGTGCATTTAGTGCATTATTATCTTTTCAATTCTTTTAAATTTATTTCTTTTTAAAACAAATAGAGCACCGAAACTTTTCTAAAGATTTATTTGAAATGTTCGGAATATTTAATTGCAATATTTAGTGAAAATTGTGTAAAGATTTAAATGTCCCACTTGAATAAATGTTTAGCGCGAAACTTTCCTGAACATTTAAATGAAATATTTTTATAATTATAATTACGCGAAAATTTCATTTAAATGTTCAGGAAAGTTTCACATTTTGGATTATTCATTCCGTATTCCACTATTCTAATTCCGTATTCCACTTTTCACATTCCGTATTTCGAATTCCACATTCCAGATCCCACTGTCAGAATTCCGTATTTCAGATTTAACATTCCGTATTCCACTTTTTAAATTCCGTATTACGGATTTCACATTCCGGATCCCACTTTCAAAAATTCTGTATTCCAGATTTGATATTCCGGATTTCACTTTCAAAATTCCATAATTCACATTCCGGATCCCACTGCTCCCACAGCACCGACACTTTTCTAAAGATTTATTTGAAATGTTCGGAATATTTAATTGCAATGTTTAGTGAAAATTTTGTAAAGATTTAAATGTCCCACTTGAACAAATGTTTAGCGCGAAACTTTCCTGAACATTTAAATTAATTTTTTTTATAATTATAATTATAGTTAGGCGAAAATTTCATTTAAATGTTCAGGAAAGTTTCACATTTTGGATTATTCATTCCGTATTCCACTATTCTAATTCCGGATTCCATTTTCACATTCCGTATTTCGAATTCCACGTTCCGGATCCCACTTTCAGAATTCCGTATTTCACATTCCACATTTTCTATTATACTTTTCAAATTCCATATTCCATTTTAAAAATTCCGGATTTTATATTCTGGATCTCACATTTCAAATTACACATTCCGAATTCAACTTTTCAAAATTCGTATTTGATTTATTTTATTTTATTTATTGAAATTAATCCAACAGTCCGAAGACAAATAATAGGATTATACAAATTATACATAATAGATAACAAGAATAATAGTGTGATATAAAATTGATGAATTGCGCGAAAATAATATGTAGTAAAACAAAAAAATATAACTAAAATTATTAAATTTAACAATAATAATTAACAAAATAAAGATTTTAAGAGTAATCAAATTTAAATTCCAGTATTGCGGATTCCACATTCTGGATTCCACTTTCAAAATTCCGTATTTACCATTCCATATTCCGGATCCAACATTGAAAATTGCGTATTTCAGATTCCACATTACGGATCCCCCTTTCATAATTCCCTATTCAGGATTCCGAATCCCACATCCTGCATTCCATTTTTCACATTTCGGATTAAACATTCCGAATTTTACTTTTTACATTCTGTATTCCGGATTCAACTTTCAAAATGCCGGATTCCATATCCCACATTCTGAAAGTGGAATGTGGGAAGTGGAATTCGGAATGTGTAATATAGGATCCGGAATACAGAATTTTAAAAGTGGAATCTGGAATGCGGAATATGAAAAGTGGTATTCGGAATGTGGAAATCGGAATATGGAATTCGAAATGTGAAAAGAGGGATCCGGAATGTGAAAAGTGGAATACGGAATGTGGGGTCCGGAATACGGAATTTTGAAAGTGAAATCCGGAATGTGAAAACCAGAATATGGAAGTCGTAATACGGAATATGGAAAGTGGGATCCGGAATGTGAAATGTGGGATCTGGAATGTGGAATCCAAAAAAATTACGTAATTAACTCCTGTTATTAACAATGCCAATCCTACAATAGTCTTTTATAATAATTCGGTTAACGTTCTTCTAAACGTCTAAAGACTTCATTTCCCGGACCTCTTCTTCGAACCTACATATGATGATCTGTACTTCTGCAATACGTAGATCACCTTATTGGTAGAATCGACCAAAATAAATTCCTTAATTCATATTGAAAGGAATACTCCTACCATAAAAATTAAATTGCAATGAAGATCAAATTCTTTCTGAAGACAAAGGTTGAGTTGATCGGAAGTTGAAAGGCAAGTTTATAAAATTTTCTTATCCCGATAGCAGTACATAAAGTTCCCTTTGTGGTCAACAAGGTAGAAAAATTTAGTGGCTAGCTTCTTTTCGAATTTCTAACAAAAATGAAACTTTTTAATGATTACGTTAGCATACACTTGGAATATAACTTAATTAATTCCAATTTCTTACTCATTGAATTCATTATTTAATTCGAATTAATTTCCTAAAAAACAATCGGTAAATAAATTAAATCTAAATAAAATTTTTAATAAATCAAAAAAAGCATTTCTTTCATAGAATGTGAAATGTTTTTTTTTGAAAATTGAACATTTTCGCCAGGGGAAAATCGGATTTATATCCCAGCGACGTTTCCTTCCTGTAGATGGAACATTTATCAACTGTAGTATTTCATCTTAATTTAGGAAGAATGGAAAGTTGAAAGCGACAAGCATTTTGGTTCACATTTCGCCCTAGGAGTTGTATGAATCCCACAGGAATATAAAAAGACAAGAAATGTCAGAGAAGAAGGATTGACAAATTACCCTGTGTTTGTCCACATGCACTGGTCTCAGGTGTGGGTCGAAGAGCAACTTGTCCGGCTCAATGTTGATGGGACTTTGCCGTCTACCTTTGCTGCACAATGACCATTGTGGATTTATGAGGCCCCAGAAGGAAGGTCCTAAAATAAAATAAATACATAAGATTAATACAAAAATAAATCGTCATTTATTTATTAGTTAAGAAAAAAAAATTATCTTCATTATCCTAAAAAAACTTTACTATTATTTATCTAATTTACTTTGAAAATTAAATCCCTCATGATTAAAGCTGTCCAGATTTTCTGGATATTTCTAATTTTATAATATGAAACTTTCTCGATTGAATTCACAACAGAGTTTTTGACGTGTGGTAGAGTGAGCATCGCCTCCTCCAACTAGTTCAATTCGTAAAAAGAATTTTCAACTCGTTCCACAGGGGACTTCCCTCTCTCTCTCTCCACTCCCATGCCATTCACAACGCTTACTTTTCCTCAGAGAAATTCAACTTTTTCCTCTCCCTTCGAAACGAAAAGTCAATACTGAAGTAACTTCTGTTAACGAGGCCACATTATTGTTCATTGGAAAATTCACATTGTCCGCGCATGCAGAGCACGTAATGTGAATTACAAAAGTTGAAATTTTTTCTCAAAAGTGTGTAAAGTAAATTTATAATATATATACTAGAGGGAGTGAGTCTATGTCAAATGAAGAAAGTACTTCACACCTGTAAAAAAAGACCATTCATGGTAGGTAAAAACAAATTCAGTCCTCATGCCAGTGAGAGAAAGAGTTGACAAAGTCCTTTAATGTTGGTATTTCTCTTTGCAACCAAGTCCTCGAGAGATGGAAAGTGCGTTAGGAGGGTCGGCAATAAATTAATTCTCATATAAATAACACGCATATATAAAACTAATACGGCGGGTTGAACCGAGCACGTTTCTTTCTGACCAGAGGCTCGATTTTGTAATTCCATTTCCACTTTTTTAATTTCCATTCAAACATCCATTACAATATCCACTTTTTCTTATTTCTAATCCCACTTCCACTTTATCTAATTTTTATTCCCACTATTAATTCCACTTTCATTTTTTCTTATTTCTAATCCCATTTCCACTTTTTCTACTTTTCATTCCCACTTCCATTTCCACTTCACTTTTTCTGATTTTCATTCCCACATCCATTTCCACTTTTTCTAATTATTATTCCCATTTCCACATCCACTTTCTCTCATTTACACTCTCACTTCCATTTCCACTTCTACTTTTATTAATTTTCATTCCCACTTCTACCTTTATTAATTTTCATTCCCACTTCTACTTTTCTCATATTAATTCCTACTTCCATTTCCACTTTTTCTTATTTCCACTTCTAATAGTTTTCATTCCCACTTCCATTTACACTTTTTCACATTTCCACTCTCACTTCCACTTTTTCTAATTTTCATTCATTTTAGTTTAAAGTCCAGATGGTCGATTATGTAATTCCATTTCCACATTCACTTCCAATTTTTCTCATTTCCACTCCCCTTTTTCCAATTTTCATTTCCACTTCCACTTTGTCTCATTTCCAATCTCACTTCCACTTTTTCTAATTTTCATTCCCACATCCATTTCCACTCCCACTATTTCTAATTTTAATTTCCACTTCAATTTCCATTTTCCACTTTAACTTTTTCTAGCTTTCATTTCTACTTTCACCTTTCTCATAATAACTCCAACTTCCATTCCACTTTTTCTAATTTTCATTTCCATTTCCACTTTTCTCATTTCCACTCTCACTTGCACAAATTAGAAATAATTTCCTTCTGCAGTTAAATTAATGTATTTTGTTTACTCTAAGTTTGTACCAAGTTTCTTTGTTTCATTATTGTAGAAAATATAATACATTAACTATTTTGACTGTTGAAAGTAACTATTAAAAATAATCATTATTTCAATAAATGGTTTTCATAAATGATTATTAAAAAATTTATTAACATCACGTTTTGAGGTTTGAATATTTGTTTTTAAGGTACAATTTTTTATTATTTAGTTAGTGGGTGTGGAAATGAGAAAAATTGGAAGTGAAAATGGTAGTGTGAATGATAATTAGAAAAAGTGAAAATGAAAGTGAGAGTGGAAATTTGAAAAAGTGTCAGTGGAAACGGAAATAGGAGTGGATATTAGAAAAATTTGATGTGGAAATTAGAAAAGGTGTCAGTGGAAACGGAAGTGGAAGTGGAAATTAGAAAAGTGGATGTGTAAATGGAATGAAAATTAGAAAAATTGGAAATGAGAGAGGAAATAGAAGTGAGAATGAAAATGGAAATGGAAATGGAAATGGAAATGGAAATTAGAAAAAGTGGGAGTGGAAATTAAAAAAAGTGGATGTGGGAATGGAAATGGAATTACATAATCGATCCCCTGATATTCCTTCATCACGATATCACGTCACCGTGACTTATTTAACAATAATTAAACAAATGAAAAATTATTTTTAAATAAATAAATCAATAAACAATTATTTATAAATAAACAAAAATATATTTATAGATAAATGATTGTTTATAAATAAACTTTCTTCATTAGAAAAGTGAACAAGTGCTCCAACAAAAAGAAAAACATCTGGAAATACATCTAAAAGTTAGACTTTTAAATTGTTTCCATTTATTAGAATTCCGAAGCGATTACTAGAAATATATTATTTTTTAGAATTATTTAAATGATTATTATAAAAAATTATAATTTAAATATTTATTGTAATTAAAAATTTTAAAGATTATTTGAATTATAATTGTTTTAAAGTTTATTGTAATTAAAAGTTTGAAAAATTATTTTAAAATTTGCAATTAACGAATTATTTAAATAAATAAGCAAATAATTGTGTAATATAATTCATTATTACCTCGTTCCTATTCAGTTTTTTTCTTTTAAAAACTGAATTAAATCAAGAAATAGAATAGGGAAGATTGTAAGTTATATTAGAGTAGAAAAAATTAAAATAAATAAAAACCAATTCCTTTTAAATTCCTGTTATAACAACAAAACGAATACAAACGAATATCACTTTAATTTAAAATTTTCTTTATATTAGATCAGAAAATAATTTTAATAATCCAGAATACTTTTTATTCCTCGATATGTTTATAAAGAAATTCCCTAAGTAAAAAAAAATAAATATATTCGACCCAAAATGAATAATATAATTTCACCAATTGGAAAAAAATTTACTTTTATACCTTAGGAAGAAATTGTCCCCAAGCAATATGGGAACTAATTTTCTGAACTTGATAATTTATTTAAATTCTCTCGTTTCAATGAGAGTGAAGTGTCGATAATTTTCTAAAAGAATTCCACATATGGTTTCCGATTAATTTTCCTCGAATATATGACAAATTGATTCATTTTTTAATGTAATTAATTCGCTTATGCATACATGAAGTCTAATTGCACAAAATATATAAATAATAATGCGGTGCTATATTTTCTCTCATTTAGTAAATTATTGCCAAATATTATTATTCAACAAAATAATTCCAAATTGTTTCTTCTTTTTCTAATTTACAATAATTGTATTTTGCGAACTTTAACCGCGCATTGATGAATATTATTTGTAATTTATGAGTCTTGAGAGTAGTAATTTATTGATGTTTGGTATTACGTCATTCGACGTTGACGGGACGTGAATTAATCCACAATGCGGGAACAATAAATCAACGTCCTTCAACATCATGAGCAAAACGATATAATTAATATTCTGCATTATTTGAATTCCGAGTCTGAAGCGAATGTCTGAGATATGGTATAGCTGGGAAATGCTGGATGTTGTTTCAATCCTTGGAATTCTGAGATGACGAAACAATGACGGGGAGAGAGAGAACGCGGTATAAGGCGAACTACGATTATTCCTGTTATTTCATGATGTGAAGGAATGCAATTTCCAAAATACTTCACTTGTCTCCAAACTGAACATTTAATCCTGTAAATGTCATGTTAAATTTTCTCATGAAACATTATCCCCTATCTTAATATGTAAAGTGACTGTTATTTTATATTATGAAAAATTCATTACATTTTATTTTTTTCAATTTATGGTAGAAATTAAATTACATATAATTGTTATCAGGTGGTTGATTATGTAATTCCATTTCCATTTCCACAACCAATTTTTCTAATATCCACTTCTACTTCCACTTTTTCTCATCTCAAATCCCACATCCATTTCCAATTTTTCTGATATCATTCCCATTTCCAATTTTTTTATTTCTATTCCCACTTCCATTTCAACTTTTTAGTTCAACTTTTCTTTTTTTAATTGACTATAACGATAAAAGATGTAGTATAACATTCGTGAAAAATCAAATGGAAACTAGTCTTTTTGACATTTAGATAACTCCTAATATTGATCAGGATCTCATTATTACAAATTTTCTCATTTCCACTTTCACTTTTTCTAATTTATATTCTCACTTCCATTTCCACTTTTTCTCATTTACACTTCCATTTCCACTTTTTCTAATTTAGATTCCCACTTCCAATTCCACTTTTTCTTATTTTAATTTCTACTTCCATTTCCACATCCACTTTTTCTAATCAATCTCCATTCCCACTTCCGTTTCCACTGACAATTTTTCTAATTTCCACTTTAATTTCCAATTCCAATTTTTCTCTTTTCCTCTCCCACTTCCACTTTCACATGCTCTCTCATTTCCACTACTAATTCTACTCATTCTACTACTAATTTTTATTCACATTTCAATTTCCACTTTTTCTAATTATCATTCCCACATCCGTTTCCACTTCCTCCTCTCATTTGCACTCTCACTTCCACTTTTTCTAACTTTCATTCCCACTTCCATTTCCACCTTTTCTCATTTGTACTCTCACTTTCACTTTTTCTAATTTTAATTCCTACATCCATTTCCACATTCACTTTTTTTACTTTCCACTCCCACTTCCGTTTCCATTAACACTTTTTCTAATTTCCACTTCCATTTCCACATCAAATTTTTCTCATTTCCACTCCCACTTCCATTTCAACTTCCTCTTATTTATTTTTCTGACTTTCATTTTTAAAACTACTTCCATTTCCACTTTCACTTTTTATAATTTTTCTTCCCACTTCTATTTCCACTTCCACTTGTTCTAATTTTGATTTTTTA